TGATAAAAAGCAGTGTGTCATCTCTGTAAATGTACTCAGAACTCTGGGGGCTATGTTTACTGCAGAATATCAAAAAACCTTACAAAAAGGTTTATCTGCTTTATCTCCAGAAATATAAACAGAATGACTCCAATGCACACTTTGCAAACATGTTTTGATTTATTTCTTCTGTGACTGTTTATACAAAATTCAGTAACTGGACATTAAAATAACAGATAAAATTCAGTAAGTTGATTGGGAAAAGCAGTCTTAATTTCACAAACGAAGCAGTGTGAGTTTCTAGCTCAGGAGTTAGATCTAGGAGCTATAATGTATGTGCTTTTAGGCAATTATGCTACCATGATGATCAGAACTGGGGCATTTGTCCTTAAAGGAGATACTGAGGGACCAGGTCATCTTCAGCCTGGGAAAGAGATGGTTCTAGGGGAACCTAACAGCAATACCTAGCAACCAGTACTAATAACTAGTACCTGCCAACCAGTACCAGTGCCTATTGGTTAGGTTACTGAGAAGCAGGAGCCAGGCTTTTCTTGGCAGTGCCTGGCAAGAGAACAAAGATCAATGGGCATGAAAAGTTACAGAGCTTGGTGGCAGATCTGACTGACTATAAAGGAAAATGTTTCCCTGATGAGACCAACAAAATTTTGGAACAAGGAGGTTGTGCAGTTTCTGCACATGGAGGTTTTAAATACCCAACTGGATAAAGCCCTGAGCAACCTCAGTTGTAGCTGACCCTGATCTGAGCAGGAGGTTGGACTACAGACCTCTTGATACCCCTTCCATCCTGAATTACCCAGTGATCCCATGTTTCACACAATACGTAGCTAAGCTGTACAACTCCACTGCAGGATGCTGAAGACACTGTAGGTCAACGTAGGTTTTAGAAGCTGTTCAGGATCACCAGTGGAAAACACACTGATGTTTTGGGTCTGAATCCCAGGCACTTGGAGGCTGGGAAATGTTAAGAGGAAATATTATGACATTATTTGCTATAATCTCATATTCTTCCTTGGGCAGCAGTTTATGGCCACTGACAGATGAGTTACTGGCCTAGATGGACTGGTTGTACATCTCCCAAGTCATTACAGCTGGTTTTGTGTTCTTATTTCTATAAAGTACACCATTATCATAAGCTTCTGTTTAAAACCTAAAATTTCACAGGGCTTTTAATTACAGGGAAGTGCAGTTTTTAGAACGTCATCCCTGCCCTTGAAAGGAAGAGTAAAATAATGAGGCTTTTCAGAGCTTTTTTTTTTTTTTTTTCAGTCAATTTTCATAATGATGGTATTTGGGGGAAAATTGAAGATTGTAGCTTTTTACCAGAAAGTACCAGAAATGTTGTAGAGAGATCTATTTTTATTTGTTTTTCTTACTTTTTCCAAAGTTCAACAAGTTCACTGCAGTCTGCCTTTCAAGGTCACCCATCTGATTCAATGATCATCTTAGCTCCACCAGTTCTTATTTTTTGAATAAAATTGTAATTACTAGCCTTTTAAGCACCAGCTGTTCTATTGAAACATACTGGTGGTGTACTCAGTCCTGGTGGAAAAATATCTGTGAGCTGCTTTTCACTGAAGCCTCCTAGCTGATTGCAAGAAGCACTTGTGGTCACAGAATTAAAGGGGCCACAACCAGATCCTTTATGGATACAGCCTCTCTTGTTTTGTGAATTACCCTATTCAAACATGTATTTGAACCTCCATTATACTCATTCCTTATAAACTAAGGAGAAAAAGGTAAATACAGTACAGTACAATATGTTGTGCAAAGGAATAATCTGTTAGCTCATCCACATGATGAGCCACATGACAAGAAAGCACAGAAACACAAATACTTTGGGGAAATTTTATCTCATTATTTAACAGCACCAACTATTTAACCATGTGAACTGTCTTTATCAAGAAGAGACCAAGGTTAACATTTAAAGTGAAGGTTACTATCTACATATGGTGGGATATGGTGCTAGAGAAGAAATCGGTGATGAAAAGAGAAGCTGAAGGAGTGCATTTCGCACAGGATTTTCAGGAGAATTGAAAGGCTGATTGGCACAGGAAGTGGCATGGAAAAATAAAAGCAAGAGGTAGAATTTGTCTTGGCAGGAAAGTGATGTTCCAGTATTAGAAATGCCTGCAGGCCAAAAAAGAAAAAAAATCCTTTGCTGAGATTTAACATGGATTTTTCAACTGCTTTAGAGCTCAGACCCTACAATAAATATCTTCATAATGCATATACCATTTGAGATGTACAGAATGTTTTGGTCATCTTCAGAGAAGCCAGAGACGAGTGCTTATTTATCCTCTCAAGCTGGGATTGTAGCAGTGTCTGGTGCAGATGGGAGAGATGAGAGTCGCTGGAGTGTGCCTGCCAACTGCTGCAGCCCTGCCTCCCGTCCCTTCCCCTGAAAGACTTTTTCTTTACATATTATATTTTACTGGATTTTCCTTTTCTCTTCTATTTTTGTAAGAAATAAAGACATTGGTAGTTTAGTAACACGTGGGAACAGCAGCTCCTGCCAGGACAGTGTACTACCAGGGGCACTTGGGCCTGAGGATGCAGGGGCAGGAACTTGCCAACTTGCCATGTCAGCCACAAAATCTGAAGCATTGCAGTACTCTTGGCTGATTAGGCATTGCTATATTTTTCTCTATTAATTATATGGCCTATTCATCTCTCCAAAGCCAGGAAAATGTCCACACTGTCAGAAGTCTTTAGGTACAAGGATGCTCATCCCTCTGCAGTGTGCTGTCAGGAAGTGCAGTTTCTGGCAAGTCCCTGCTCTCTATAAACCTTTCCCTTACACAACAGACTTTAAGCTGTATCCCTGTATTCAGCACTCCTGCCACTCAGACCATTAACTCATAAGGTCCCAGTTCAAGAGGCCTTCATGCACATAATGACGTATCTCTTTGCAGCAGGAGGGCCAGAACTCCTTGGATGGATAAGGAGCTACTGAGGAAAATTCAAATGAAAAAAGAGGCTTATAAAAAGTGGAAGCAAGGACAGGAGGCCTGGGAAGAGTACAGGGATGTTGTCCGGGAAGCTAGGGACCAGGTTAGGAAAGCTAAGGCCCAGTCAGAATTAAACTTGGCTAGGGATGTTAAGGATAACAGGAAGGGATTCTACAGGTACATAGCAAATAAAAGACAGACTAGGGACAATGTGGGCCCCCTCAGGAAGCTCTCAGGAGAACTGGCTACCCTGGATTTGGAGAAGGCTGAGGTTCTGAATGATTTCTTTGCCTCGGTCTTCACTGGCAAAGGCTCTGACCACACCACCCAAGTCTTGGAAGGCAGATGCAGGGACTGTGAGAATGAAGACCTTGGGCCCACTGTAGGAGAGGATCCGGTTCGAGACCATCTTAAAAATCTGAACATGCACAAGTCCATGGGTCCTGATGAGATCCATCCGCGGGTCCTGAAGGAGCTGGCGAATGAAGTTGCTAAGCCGCTGTCCATCATATTTGCGAAATCATGGCAGTCAGGTGAAGTTCCCAAAGACTGGAAAAAGGGAAGTGTAACCCCCATTTTCAAGAAGGGGAAAATGGATGACCCGGGGAGTTACAGACCAGTCAGTCTCACCTCTGTGCCTGGCAAAATCCTGGAGCAGATTCTCCTGGAAGGCATGCTAAGGCACATGAAAAACAACAAGGTGCTTGGTGACAGACAGCATGGCTTCATAAGGGGAAATCCTGCCTGACCCATTTGGTGGCCTTCTATGATGGGGCTACAGAACTGATGGACAGGGGTAGAGCAGTTGATGTCATCTACCTGGGCTTGTGCAAAGCGTTCGACGCTGTCCCACACGACATCCTTGTCTCTAAATTGGAGAGACATCAATTTGATGGATGGACCACTCGGTGGATAAAGAACTGGCTGGATGGCCGCACACAAAGAGTTGTGGTCAATGGCTCAATGTCTGGCTGGAGACCAGTAACGAGTGGTGTCCCTCAGGGATCGGTGTTGGGACCGGTCTTGTTTAACATCTTTGTCGCTGACATGGACAGTGGGATTGAGTGCGCCCTCAGCAAGTTTGCCGATGACACCAAGCTGTGTGGTTCGGTTGATAGGCTGGAGGGAAGGAATGCCATCCAGAGGGACCTTGACACGCTTGTGAGGTGGGCTGATGCCAACCTCATGAAGTTTAACCATGCCAACTGCAAGGTCCTACACCTGGGTCGGAGCAATCCCAGGCACAGCTACAGGTTGGGCAGAGAAGAGATTCAGAGCAGCCCTGCGGAGAAGGACTTGGGGGTGCTGGTCGATGAGAAAATGGACATGAGCCGGCTTCAGTGTGTGCTCGCAGCCCAGAAAGCCAACCATATCCTGGGCTGCATCAAAAGGAACGTGACCAGCAGGTCGAAGGAGGTGATCCTGCCCCTCTACTCTGCTCTTGTGAGACCTCACCTGGAGTATTGTGTGCAGTTCTGGTGTCCTCAACATAAAAAGGACATGGAACTGCTGGAACAAGTCCAGAGGAGGACCACGATGATGATCAGGGGACTGGAGCACCTCCCGTATGAAGACAGGCTGAGGAAGTTGGGGCTGTTCAGCCTGGAGAAGAGAAGGCTGCGTGGAGACCTCAGAGCAGCCTTCCAGTATCTGAAGGGGGCCTATAGGAATGCTGGGGAGGGACTCTTCATTAGGGACTGTAGTGACAGGACAAGGGGTAACAGGTTCAAACTTCAGGAAGTTCAGATTGGATATAAGGAGGAAGTTCTTTCCTGTTAGGGTGATGAGGCACTGGAATGGGTTGCCCAGGGAGGTTGTGAATGCTCCATCCCTGGCAGTGTTCAAGACCAGGTTGGATGAGGCCTTGGGTGACATGGTTTAGCGTGAGGTGTCCCTTCCCATGGCAGGGAGGTTGGGACTAGATGATCTTAAGGTCCTTTCCAACCCTAACTATTCTATGATTCTAATGATTGCCCTTAACATTGAATCATTATCTCTACAGCTGGTCTGAAGAGGTGTTTATTCCTGAGCCAGAGATAAGTAAATACCTGGAGTGAAAAGGCAATACTCAAGGAACAGTGAAGGAATGCAATGCTATATTTTCATGTCCTCATTACACAGAAATTAATACAGTAAAGGAGAAAAATGAGTGTATATTTCAGTTGGAATATGAGTACCATTGAATTGAGCTACCAAGATTATTTCTTTTGTGCCACCCATGTCTATTCCCTGGCAAATATTTGCCATGGGAATTCTACTGCTTTTGTGTAAAGCATCTTTTGCAGTCTTGATCTCATGCTAGATCTCTAGGCACTCCTATAAGAAAGGCAATAATAACTGGTGACAAGTATGAAGAACTCCTGTTGCTAATCAGTAAGGTATTTCTGAAAAGCAATGCAGGGAAATTCAGAATGACCACAGGAATTAATAATAATAAAAAAAAAATCATACAGGTTACAGAGCTCAAATTATTTCACTTAAGGTAAAAGATAAAAGATACAGATTAAAAGATAAAAGATTGAAACTACATCTTTCTTTTCAGAGATGCTTATTTTGTCACTCCTTTGATACTTGCCCTTGCTTTAAACAGTGTCTTCAGGGGCTGCATCATGATAACTGAGGTTGAACAGAGTCTTTTATTTTGAGATATGAAACGAGTACCTCCCATCTCCAGAAGGAGCCACCGCAAATACTCTGAGCACTTCCAGTTCCTACTTCTGTGCTATGCCTGGCTTCTGCTAGCCAAAAGGAGGTAATTGCATCTTAAGATTTCATTGAATTGCTGTGTTCGTAATGCATCAAAGATGGTTTCTTAATGAAATGCAACAGTGAGATACAATCATCATATTTGAAGGCTATGTAATAAAAAAATGGCTGTTTACTTTGCATGGAAAAGAAGGCCTGCTATTTGTTCTGAAAGTTGGAAGCTCCAGCTCTGGAGTAGGCGAAATGTACAATATGCATTTGGTGTTATGTGAATTTCAGAGCTGGTGATAGACATACAATCCCAGTCAGCTGGCAGGGATTCACTGAGCAGGCAGAGGCTGCTGCAACCAAGTAAGATTCCATATGCTGCTTTGCCTCAAAACTAATCTGGAACAGGCAGAAAATAGTTTGTCATACTGTGGCAAATTCCTGGCATCACAGCCAAAAATGCTTCTAGGGTTTGTGACTAGCATCAAACAGGTGGTACTAGTGGGTTTTGCATGGGTACTGGGCTGACAGCACCTAGCTCATCCCATACATGTGGTCTGTAGGGGCTAGCAGTCTTTAGCCAGTAGTGACTAGTACTGATGGAAGAGAGTTCAAGGTGAAGGATGTCTCTATACCACTACCTGTGCTCTAGGCTATCCATCTTTTGACAGAACTCAAAGTTACAGAAAAATAAAGACCTCAAATTCACGATAGATATTTTATTAACAATGTGACATTTTTTCCTTAAGAATTACTGATTTGTTTGCAGGAGACTCTTTTTTTTTTTTTTTTTTCACTTTGAGTTTATAATCTCAGAGAAATATAAAAGGCCTCCTCTCAGCTTTATGACAACTGGCAACTACAGGAGTACTATATTTTGTTTCTCCTTGAACAGATTTCATACTTTTTTTACACTCTGTTCCTGCCGGTTGTTTGATATCTGAATGTGTTTATCTCTGAAGGTAGTTCTCCCAGAGTTCCTAAAGAAGTCTTTTCCTCCAGGGTGTTAGTTTATATATTACTTACAGGTGCAATAAAAAAAGCCTATTCTCAAATGCAATCTCTTAAGCTTGCAGAATGACTGATCAAGCTGTTGGCTCAATTTGCTGTCTGATCATTTAGTTGGTGAGGTGAACCTTGACTAGGATTTTCCATGGTGGATTGATCAAGTGATGGAAGCAATTACTGTATTTTCTCACCTTAAGATAACCAGTGAAAGGATCAGCATCAGCAGATATCTCCACAGGTAGGCAGTTTAAACTCTAAAGCTTGATTTCTATCAGCTGTTAATATCCATGAAAAATAACTGCATATCAGAATGACAGCATTCACACTCTGTAGTTGTATAAATAGCTATGTGAAGTGCACAGGAACCATGAGTGGACCCTACTGTGCTTTATGCCAATAACCTAAGAAGTCAGTGTGCTTTAGCGGTAAATGATTTTGCATGAGATTGCCTACAAATGACTAACAAGTGAAACACTCTGAACTAATAACAAAAATATGCAGTAGAACTGATCTGCTCCAAGAATCACATTTTCAGTTTTTCCTTTCAGAATGGATTTGATTTCATCTGGACTAATTCATTCCTCATTAGTAAGAAGACAACAGGAAAATTATTTTTGGAGGAATACAAAGGCAAAGCCAAAAAAAAAAAAAAAAGGAGCTAAATATAAAATATATCCTTGGATAAGGCTATAGCTGGTCTCTCAACAGTAAAGACATGAGACGATTTCAAAGTTCCCTTCAACTCATCAGAACTGAATGGTAATCAAATGAAAAATTGCTTCCATCTTAAAATACCATTATTCTCCCTTAATATAGAATGTACCATCAATTACTGAAAATGCTATTGAAACTGTGCCTTAAATTCATTCAGTATGAATGGCATTACTATTGGAAAATATTTTCTGTCACAATTGCCTAGTTTACCCATTATTCTTTCCCTTCTTTGAGTTTGCAAATGACCAAGAAGTGGAGACAACACCCACCCTTTGCTTAACTTTTCATATTTTATGAAAATATCACAAATCACTTGTCTTACATCCAGTCTTCTGGTGTGATTACGTTCCAACAAGACCTCACCCAAACCTACACAAGACTGGTAGTTTATATTTTACTACTTTACTACTGGGAAAGGAAAAAACCCACAAAACCACTCATCATTTTTAGACCTTTGTGGAATCCTCTATACCAAATGGAAAGGAACTGTCTTATCTGCTCAGACACTGATGTAAGAACAGGACATATCATCTGTGAATATATTATCTGGATAAATACCTGCTTTCCAGTAATGTGAGAAAAGGATGATAGTGGCCATAACCTCTAAAGCTCTGCATTTTGCTGATATCTTTATTTACACACCAAACACAAAGATGAATCTTCCAGTTGCTAAAAAAAAAATGATGCTGTGAAGTGGTTGAGAACTGGGTTTGGCACATTTTTTCCCTATCGCTCTCTTAAATTAGTCCCAAGGTCTTATGATAACACTGATGTTTACTCTGGCCAAGGACTTTGTGAGCCTCATGCTCTGCCAGGGAGGAGGGGAAGCCGGGATGAAGCAGAGACAGGACACCTGACCCAAACTAGCCAAAGAGATATTCCATGCCACAGCATGTCATGCCCGGGGAGGTAACTGGGAATTACCCGGAAGGGAACTCGCTGCTCGGTCAGGCTCGTTTCGGCAGGTGGTATCATATTCTCTTCCCTTGTTATTTCTCTTATCATTATTATTATTGGTGGTAGCAGCAGTGATTTGTGTTATACCTTAGATACTTAGATACTATAGATACTTAGATACTATAAGATAGTTCTTATCTCAACCCGTGTGAGTTACATTCTTTTGATTCTCCTCCCCATCCCTCTGGGAGCAGGGAGGGGGCAGGGGGGAAGGAAAGAAAGAGGCGGGGGGGAGTAGAAATTGTGTGGCTGACTGGGTTTAAACCACTGGGTTTAAACAATGACAGTGTCTTCTGGATTTAAAACAACTTAGCAGCTAACCCCTGCAGTTATCTGTTGGGGAAATATTTGGCACATTAATTTAGCTCAGAACACCAAGCACCTTTCCTGTACGAGGGGCTTTGTTCTACAAGCTGGAGCTAAATTTCTCCATGACAATCATCACCAGACCCATACTTTTACCACTTTGTACCACACCAGGATTGTACCACAAGGTTCTGGAAAGCTCCTGGAGTAGGTGTCATAATAAGACACTACATTCAACAGGAAGCCTAGAAATATGCAAAGAGTTTGGCCATGAAATACACAGATTTAGAGCAGCTGAGGGCATGCGTTGGAATACAATCAGACCCTTCACCAAATATAGACTGCAGAATCCAAAACCTGGGACACTGTTCTTCAGTGACAGTTATCTAGATAGCAGGTGCAAGATACCTAACTTCTGGTTAGGAAAACCATAAATAGAAAAATAAACTTTGTCACCTGATATATTTAAAAGAGGGCACCCCAAACTGAAAAGCATTGGAAAGCACATGCTAAATACTTTGGTTTCTCTTCAAATCATATAAGTCTTTTGCCTTTTATGATGGTTCTATGAATACTATGAACAACACTTGGCACTGCTCAAGGCCAGGCTGGACAGGGCTTTGTGCAGCCTGGTTTAGTGGAAGGTGTCCCTGCCCATGGCAGGGGGTTTAGAACTAGGTGATCTTTACGGTTCCTTCCAACCCAAACCATTCTATGACTGTGTGTTTCTAGGAATATATTTATATTTCTGTTTCACATAACTCCCTGTTAGATAATTTGGTAAGAAATAGCAGTAAGTCTTACCTTGTGACATGACAAAGATTTATGGCCACATTGAAACCATCACTCATAGACATCCAGACTGGCTTTTCTGGAGTTAACCTGATAAGAAAATACAAGAGTCTATTATGTGGAAACACACAGAAGTCCTTCAGATCTGGAAATGTGTAGCTGCATTGGCATACCACTGCCCTGAGCTAACATGTTCTGCAAACACATCCAGACTCCCCTGAGATTTTGAACTGCAGCCTCTGCATAGTGCTGGGCTATGGCTTGGGGTCCTGATGGCTCAGGCTGGCTGTAACTCAGGTACTTCATTGCATGGCAGAAATTTGGCCTTCATGTCCAAGCATAAACACCTAGTGGAATTTCAGATGTCAGCCATTGCTCTTTTCTTTAGCTCATCTGAATCAGACTAATAATACATACATTCAAGACAGACGTAATTGCTCTAGTGCCAGACTGTACAAACTTTAACATACTTGCTGGTTGTTTAAGTCATTCTTTGACACAGACATTTGCTGCCACTCCAGTGTCTGGATACATAAAAGACTGATGAAATCATGTTCACTTTTAAGTATACAATATATTTCATTAGTATTTTAAATGAAATTTCTTTGCTATATCCAGATTTTGTCTTTTGTTAACTGATGTAGCGCTGTTTCCAGGGGGGCTTTATCTCTTAGCAAAGACATGCGGTTTTTAAAATTCCTTACATTGTGTAGCAGACTTAACGGATGTGGTCTGTTTATTTCCCCTCCAGCGCATTATTGCCAGTATGTAAAATGAATTATTACCGATTCTCCAGTATAACAATGCATTATGCTCAACAGAATACCCAAGTCTTGTAGGCTATGTTCCCACAAAATGTTTTTCCATGATGTCTGGGTGTCTCTAATTATACTTACTTCACTAACTGGTCATTCATATTGTTCTAATAGTGTTAAAATTATATGTTAACATAAAAACTTTATTGAAATCATTCCCGAAGGATGTTACATTCCAAGGGTGAAACTCATTCCCATGAAGTTCATTTGCCAGCCAAGAGAATACAGATTTTACGTGTGATTTATTGATGCATGGCCCAGCTGTTCAGTGTCTACTTAGGAGATTTTCATCCTGATTGCATAAACTCTGGGTAAAACCTTGCTGCTGTCTCACAGGAGTCTCATCAATTTTAAATAGTACTATTTAAGTGTGTTAAGTGTGTAAAGCTGATGGCATTTATGTGAGAATGACTTTGCACAGCCCTGAAGTCAGAACCACTTCTGACATAAAATGCAGTTGCTATTTAATATCTCAAAAATGCTATTGAAAACTTAAGATGAGATGTGAAAAATACCATATTCCTATGAAACTGCAGCAGTCTAGTAGACAAGAAGCATATAAATACTGACTCTGAAATTAAGACTCCATTATGTTAATTGGTAGTAAATATATATAAGTTCCTTCTAAAGCCTTGCTGTGATGTTTCCCTAAATGAGTCAGAAGAGACACTTACACCTGTTGAATCAACTCTTTCCTGTAAGCATATGGGATTTTCCCCTTAAGTACCAATACAGCCCAATCCTGCTTAGATTGTGATAGCTGATTGGGTCACAGCTTGAGGCTTATACAATAATTGCTATCCACTTAACTATTTTACCTCATATTAAACTCGCTAGTGCATTTCCACTATTCTCTTTCCTACTCTGCAATTCTTACCTTTCCAGTTAGATGACAAAGCCATCCAAAAGCTAACCAGCATTGAAAAGAAGGCAATGAAACCCTTACTCTTGCTTATTCTGTCAGGTTTCTGTTTTTGAAGGAGACAGTCGATATGTTGGTTAACATATGGCTAGCTTTTGGTTAATGCCTTTGTTTTGATGACATTGCTGAAGTGGCTTAGAAGAACTTTTTCCAGTGTTTCCGTGTAGTGCTTCACCAGTGTTCCCCTGGCTATTGCATAGGTTTATTTCTAAATCACTGTACAGATTCTGTATCAGTCACATTATTACACCTGTTCAGTTAGAAGATCAATACATGTGTTTTGCAGAAGTCACTAAGAGTTTGGAAAGAGCGGACCTTGTGTGCGCCAGAGCTATAGTATAGCTAGCTATCCATCTATCTGTTTTGTCTGCCTATTCATCTACCATATAGCCCTCATCTTCTCTTTGGGAGGTCTTTTACTGGCTTCTCCCTTTTAAACTAACAAAAGCTCAAGGGAGAAACTGTTAGAACAGCTTTCTGCTTTCAGAGACATGGTAAATTGAAAACCGTTAATAGTGTGAGGCACATTAAGACAAAGTTATGTAAGACCCTAGTTTATGGTGGTGAGACACTGGAACAGGTTGCCTAGAGAAATTGTGGATGCCCCATCATTGGAAGGGTTCAAAGTCAGGTAATATGTGGCTTTGAGCATTGGATGGGGCTTTGAACGACCCAATCATTGAAAATGTCAGGGGGTTTGACTAGGTGATCTTTGAAGGTCTCTTTCAACCCAACCCATTCTGTGATTATATGATTTGTGCAGCAGCACAGCACTAAGTTTTACACTGACATTACTTGCTGAAAAAAAAAGTTTATTATTTCCTTCAGCTTCATATGCACATTTGTAAATTCATAGCAGAAGTTGAAAATGTTAGAAACTGAAAGTAATCATCTGTCTTTGCTATCTGCTTGCACTGTAGTACAGCACTGGGATATCCTGATTATGGGGCTTAGGACTTCTTGAAGAGAAGAATTGCCAGCAAAGCCTGGGTGGTAATTTGAGTCCCTAAATTCCAGGAGCAGTGACCTCCAATGGTGAACCCTGTGTGGGAGCAGGCCTTCTCTTTTCTACAGATGCAGAGTTGTGAGGAAGGGTCCAACATTGCCCATGGTAAGACCATCCCCTTTTCCAGTTGCATTTATCCTAC